TTTGTAAAGCTCATGCCTTGCTTAGTTATCACGCCGAATTTCATTGCAAACAAAATACTTGCACATAGAAAAAATAATCTTTTTTTCTAGGTGCTAATTTGCATATACAACTACATATGCAAACACTTAGAGTTCTAGAAAATTTTCTTTTTAATTAAATGCTCTGAAAATCAACGAAATAAATAAGAAAGAGTTACTTAGAAAGCCACAATTTAAATTTTTGAAATTACTATTTTACATTTCACACAAGCTCGGTAGAAAGTTTGGCTATTTCGAGTGCTATTTTTAGCCATCAAACATTTGTCACGCAAAGGCCCAGTATGTGACATTGTTTAGCGATTTTCTTGCGAAAAATGAAATATTTTCAAAAACCAATTACACAGCGATTGTTACCTAATCATACCTTATCAATATACAAAATATGAATAGATTTGATTTTTCGAGCCTTGCCAAGATATGTCTGATTTTTGCGCGAAGTGGCTCTTAATGCATTTTCTCCAGATACAATACATGGCTGTGAGCTCAATAAACCGACCAATAGCAGTAACATAACCCAAAATGGACCGGTCCGTATAACAGTATAAATTAACGTCACGTGATCGGGTCTACTATTCAAAAATAGATTAAGTGATAGGTAGATTGCATGCCGATATATTTAAAAAGGTCTGAATATAGATCGAAGAGTATTTTAAGTTAAAATAATAGAATATAATAGGGGTAGAGTGGGTAGGGTATTTTGTAAATTGTAACCGCGGAGGAAGGGGTAAGTAAGTTGACTAGATGCATGTTAGACACAATCTGTATTTATTTCTCGATAACTAGAAAGCTGCAGGACGACTGCAGCACAGAATAGAATATTTATTGAATATAAGGGACATGGTCCACCAGCATCCTTTTCGAGCTTTTATTCATATGTTTGGAAATAAATATACATCGTAATATAAGCAAAAACTTACTCTTTATTATCACTTTATACTATATGAATGGAGATACTGTAAGATTCCACCTTTAATCCGATGGATGGAAACAGATTGTGAATGGTATTTGAAGTCCCCTTTATTTTTCATATATGAAAAATCTAAAACACGAGCGCATTGAATGACGGTTGACCATGGACCTTTAAGGCTGTTTCTTTTTTTTTGTTTTGTTTTTTATTTGTTTGTTTTTTGTTTGTTTTTTTTTTTTATTTTTTTATTTAATAAGTTTAATGTTTGGTGTACTATATACATAACCGATACATTACATGCATATTCTAAGAACATTGTTTTATTTTGTTCTTAATTAATACAGTCCTTGTGATATAGATAATAGAATTATATATTCAAAAGATATGCTTCTTTTGATTGGCTGACAGCTAACAATCATTTTTTTCATATCTTGACATCAGTGTGCTACAATGATTACACCAAAACAAAACTTAGAACGTAAAAAAGAGATTTCATCTTCTCCACTCCAGAAACCAAAATTCTTAAAATATTTTTCAAAATCCCTACAGAATAGTGCCAGCACAGAGTCATACACTATATTGACGTTCAAAATGAAGGCCACACATACGGCTTCAACATTTGTTTTTTCCTGTTGAAATGGCCGCGCACAGGCGGCTCAGCATCAAACAACATATTTGAGAACAAAAGAAATATTGGCTCAGTGTTGAAAAGTTTTAAACGCTTCAACAACAATTCAGCCTCTCGCAAACGTATTCAACATCTTCAACATTGCCGCTCAACAAAATGGAACAATTGTTGTAGCAAATGTTGAAAGCGTCCGCGTTCTCCTTTGTCGCCTTCGCAGCCTCGCCATTTTGTCGGGCTTGCTGTCCTCGTTTCGGAACACCGTTTAATAGAGGTCACGTTTACAGTCAATATATATGAGAATCGACTTTTAGGGAATTCATGAGTGGCCGTTTAATGGAGGCTGACCGCTAAGTCGAGGGTTCAACTGTAAGAAAGGTCTGTTTCCTTTTGGTCGTTTCACCCTAATGAAAATCGTGAATCGGAGTTATAAATACAAAAATAGCTAACATAGTCATCACAGCTGCAAACAGGAATAAACAGGTAAAAAACCGGTTTAACACGTTTGCTACAGTCACCCATTGTTCCTTTAGCTTTTCGTTGTTTACTTCTTCTCTTACTTTAACTGATAAAATGTTTATAGCCTTGTTTTCTTCGGCGTTTGACTCTTGGTTTACCTGTGACTTTCCACCTTTTTGCTTAAGTTCTGTTGAAAGTGAACGAAATAGTGAGATTGAGATATTGCCTGCGCTAAATGCATTGTGGATATCTCATAAACATGTTTTACCAGGCTGCATGCTCATTTTACATATACCTATTTCAAAAACGGTTGTGGGATGAAATAACGAATGTCGAACGGCAATTACACGACCGAAAGTAGCCATGAGTTTTGCTAATTGATAAGAAAAAACAACTGGTTTATACTGTAAGATAGTTTGTGGTAAACATTGGATCCATTTAGCAAGGGAAATCCTGAAAGAGAATTTTTATTTATCAATAGCGTAACCATAGTTCCTTTCGGTCGTGCAATCTCCCTTCGGCAATCGAAACTACCTCACCATTTTCCTGGACAACGTTTTTTTTTTTATTTACAAAAAAAAATGAAATAGGTGTATACCAAGGATAAGTGCAATTCGGCGTTAATCGTTTGGCTCTCATGAAGTGTTATTCATTCAATAAATTTATAAAAATATTAACTCATCATGAGTTTCCAACATTTCAGTATATTGATGGGTTTTTAATTACGCATGCGAAAACCGTGCGCAAATTGTTTAAATCTTAGGTCGACAACTTAACCAGAATATGCACGTTTAAGTACATCGTCAGAGACCAAGAAATCGTCTTCAAACATAACAAGATGACCTTATATTATTAAAGTTGCAACGGAAAAAAATAAGGGGCCTGACCGGGAATTGAACCCGGGACCTCTCGCACCCTAAGCGAGAATCATACCACTAGACCATCAGGCCAATTGGTAGTTAGAGCCAAGATCTTTAAGTATTTATAACATTTGCTTACTTTTTAGCCACTTGCCGGCAAACTTTGTCTCTATTTCAGCGTCTCTTTGAACTGTATTTTCTTGAACCTCGATTTTTCGCGGTCTTATTCTGTGTCCCGTTTTATAGAACACAAACGATGCTAAATATCGCAAGACGGCTTTCTGAAATAGAGTTATAATTTGAAAAATTAGATATAGTCCTTTTTTGTTGGGATCCCTGCAGTGGTGTTCACGTTCTTACGGGTGACTTACAGGTGGCAATGGATATACTTGGGCTTCCTTTGTCGCCTGTATTCTTAAATGTCCTAATTTGGTATAAAATGCCTTATTTGGTATTCTTGCAACCGTGTGTTGTCGTTGTGTCCTCATTTGTTCGGAACTAAACGTTTCGTGACTTTCTAAAGTATCGTCTCTCATTTATAACACGATAAAAGTCTACATGCGGTCCAGAACGTACCCCAAGACAGTCTCTAGCCCCCTTCGCAGGCATCACTAATAATCACGGGCTTCCTGTCTTTTTTGACCGTTACAAAGCTAAGGAATCCCAAAGGAGGAAAAAAGATATGCCTGGGGAGGAGGCTAGACAAGGTGCTGTCAGAAAACCCGACCATATTGATCGTTTTCAACCATTCCCATGAGATTCAAAAGGTAAAAGACAGGCGGCCATGTTGGATTAATGAACAATAGATTCTAATAAGACATCCGTTGTTGAAGTTCCTCCAAGATGGCCGCTGTGACGTAACTTGAAAACGAAGAATAGGCGGTTTCCCTATAACGTGGATGCTTTGAAAAATATACCAGGTGTGAATAAAGGCAAGATTTTAAGCGAGCTTAGGAACTTATACCGAAAAGAAATATTTTTGAAAGCGCCCTCGTATAAAATAGAACGCTTTCTTTCGCAAATTCTATCACTAGAAAGTTTCTTGATTAAGTTGTAACCTTCCAAATCTACAATTACTGGTATAACAAATAACATAAGGCATTTTAAAAGTGTCAAAGAATGCCGGGACGGGTCTCAATCTACACAGGAAGACCAAAATCTTACCTTTAACCACTTTGCCAAGGGCTTAGGGTCGTGATGCACTAGTCGTAGTATCCAACACATGGCAACCATGCAACAAACAACTTCTATAACCGTACAGCAGTAATATTTGGCTAACAAGGGTAGCTCATTAGATGATGGCATGGTAGACTCGAGCATTAGGAAAAACACAGCCATCGATAGGAGAATAGTTACACCAACTGCCATTCGCTCCCCTGATTCTTATAGTAACAATATAAATAATCAAAATTAATAATGATTAATAACAATTACCACTTATAAATCTAAAATTGCCGAATCTCAGAAAGCATTTTGCAATAATTAAGGTTAGAACCTTGATAAATAATTAAAATAAAATAAAAATAATTATTGGACGGAGCAGAGTATGATTACACAATTATTGGTTGAGACTGAATATGATATGAATAATTATTGGATGGGGTTATGTATGATACAAAGAGTTATTGGTTGTGGCTGAGTTTGATATAAACAATAATTGAATGGGTATTGAATGATATAATGAATTATCGTTTGAGGCTAAGTATGCAACCAGTGTTTCGGGGGTGTAACGATATAAAAATTATTCAGGCTTAAAAAGCGGAGTTTTTAAGCCAATGGCTGTAGAATAAGTTTTCTTATTTATCCATTTTTGACAATTGATTAAAAGACATACCAATTGGCGTTAGAAAAACCAAGAGCGTCAAAAAAGCGATGATTGCACATGGTAGAATGAAATTCGTCATGTAGAAAAGCGTTCTTCTCTTCAAATGAAGATGGTAGGTGATCCTTGCTACATCATTCTTGCAGCAGATATGAACGACCGTTGTTCGTCTGCTTGACGCCTCCATCAACTCCCATTCGCCATTAAGGTGGTAATCATACAACATTTCTTCCCTTGACTTTGGTTGGAGATCAAGTTTAGTGACGTCATAGTTCCATGATCCAAAAAAGAGTTCACATACCTTGGAACGAAAATTGTATACATGCACTGTAGCTTGCATAGTTCGTGTACTTTGATTGACTGTTTATAGCGATACTAAATGTGACGTAATCCTTTGTTATTCATGTGCCAACCGGAAGACGATTGGCTGTTAGAACAAAGTGACTTGTGAAAAGCCATTGTGATTATGGTTGGCACATTAACATAAGAATGAGTTTGTTGATAAACATTGAGTATCTCTATGCCTCACCTGTAAAACATACGCCCTATGAGCGGACATTTTGTGACGTCATGACCTTTTACAAATGGCGTCACTCATCTTTTTCTATGATGTCACCAGCATGTTCATATGACGTCACTAACATATGTGCATAGCGTCACTTTCTGACGTTGCTAATATGGTAATAATATGACATCACCGGTATATTACTATGAGGTCACTTGCCTATTAGTATGACGTCATTAGCCTGTGTATGTTGACGTCAATAGTATGTTTTATGACGTAATAACTAACCTGTTCATCGAACGGAAAGTACTGGACGTGAATTAAGCACGAACTTTTTATCACCATGGCAAAAAGCCACGAAACACTCCCATCATGCTTCAGATTAGCACGTGGTTTGTCGTAATCAAGATTGCTCTGAGCTCTGTAAAATAACACCAAATATGGGGTTGAATCATTATGATCCTCCACCCTCCCCACCCTTATTACTTATCCTTACTTGTTATACAATATAATAGACGGTGTCCAAATGCTTGTCGGTTCGGGGTTAATTTCCTTCATTCCACCGTAGTCACCAGGCTCCCAAGTCAGAAACTCGTCCTTCCACATCTGTTTTCGAAACATTCAAAGAATATAGCTACTATGAAGATAAAAAAATCTATAAATGGCACACGGGACAATAAAAAGTTTTTTCTTACCATTTTTATTCGGACAGAAGTTGTCAATATCATGTTTTTCTCGTCCTGATTAGAGAGAAAAGTGTCTAAATTTACTATATGCTGTGTTTTACAGTTAGAAGTATCGGTGGAATACTTGACTAGGGCAGCAAAACGGGCATGTACAAAGGTTCCATGAGGAACAGCTTTGTTTCGCGGTTTCTCAATCTCGCTCCAGAGCCCACGTTCCTCTTGGTCTGCGCTGAGAAACGTTTCTCGGCGCAGACCAAGAGGAACGTGGGCTCTGGAACGAGATTTGCGGCTTCTGCACTGGAGAAGGCAATTAACTGCAAAATTGCACTGACATATTGTTTTGAATTCACACTAAACAAAATACTGTACTGTCCAAAAATGTGGTTCTCTGTTGATTTGGCAAATGAAGCCTCGTATTTCAATGACTTCCCCTACCAAGACAGGGGGGGGAAGCTTGAGAATTCCTGGAGCCACCCCCTGCTAACGCTTATGCAACAACAATTTACTGCTACACTCACCACATCTGAGATCATGAGAAGATATAGAACATGGTGAACTAAGAGAGGCGCGGTGTCGTTCAACACTGGTCGATACATCGGCGAATATCGAGTTTTGTTGAATAAAAATCTTGTGAGTTTGTCTTCGTTTGAAATAACTGCAATTGATCCTATAAAAACTGGAATAAAATGAATAAAATACATTATATAGATATAACGCGCGCTCTTATTGGTTTATGAATGTTGTTATGTAAGAGAAACAATACATGGTTTGGTGTTCAAGCGCTCAAAAGAGAGAGAAAGATTTCATAACAATTAATTTAAAGACCCGTTTTCACTTGCAATTTTTGTGCGGCTCGAATCTATATATCCCGATAAAACACGCACTCTCGTTCTATAAACAACACCTAGTGAAAATAACATATTCGAGGTTTTTCTATATAGTGGAAGTAAGAAAAAAAGGTATTTTACGACATAATTTGCTTTCATATGTAATTATATGATAAACAGAATATTACATGGTCGCTACGCTCACTCGTGAGAGATCTTTTCAACACTCGAAGATAAAATCCGTATCTCCGCGCGCCCATGTAATATTCTCTATGTATATACAGTGCATGCCGCTTCTTTAGTGAAAGCCTTTTAAAAAATAGACGGTTAATTTTGCTAATTTGCACGGCGTGCGACAAAATTCAAATCAATAACTTTAAGAAGATGTCATAAATTCCTGGCGGACATCAAGAATCCTGCTATTTACATCTCTCTCACGCAATGGCTTGAGCACGCAACCGCTATATCATAATGTCTGTCACCGATATATCTTCAAAATAAGGTAGAAAGGTAGAACAACGAATGCACGACCGAAAAGTACTGTGGGTACTCAACTTTTGTCATCTTCTGGAGAATTTTCTGGAGACATACAATTAACTTTTGATACGTTTTGATATTTTTTATTTGAAATTATATGTTTTTGATATATTTTATTTTATATTACACGTTGAGGACTGCAGAGAGAATATTGACTTGCTTTGACAATACTTCAGATATTTTACGACTTTAAAATTCATACCAAATTTCATAATTGCATGTATTTGGAATTCAACACCGACAAAATAAAACAAAAGAGATATGTTCTATATTATATTCCCCTAAAGGTCACAAAGAAAAGTCTTCAATATTTCTATACTTTGTACAATACCGCTTCTCTAATTGAAAGTGATGTGAATTCAGTTTACCTCAAGGAAATATCAATAACGTTGGCTTTGCAATGTTTTATATAATTAAAAAGGAAACTTTGAGTCCAGAATGCTCTAAAATGCAATCCAATTGTTCTCTACAAATTTCTTTACCCTCCAAACTCTCAATTTTATATCAAAACTTTGCTTAATTACATAAAAATTAGGCTTTTAGCAATTAAGATTTCACTCCGAAACTTTCTGCAAGTAATCTTATCTTGCCGGAGATGATGCATTTCACTAAAAAACTGAATGACCTAGATTCTTTTTACTCACCATTTAGAAGTAGTAACAGCACAAGATTGTATTTATAAATTTTAGAAGGCATTTTGCAGCTGACAAATACGGCTTTTCAGACGATAAAGATTTTTTTATTGATAAGCTGTGTCTGGTGAAATCCTCTTGTCTCTATGGTGACACTTGAACGTTATTCAAATACTTCAAAATGCTGCGAAATCTTTTATTAAAAATTTATGAAAAAAACGATTTCGAGTTCAATTATCTGTCTCTACAGCGGCAGGTAGCTGCATGTGTTTAATTGATATCTGTACTAACAAATGCTGATTATAATTTGTTATGATACATTTATTTTTGGCAATTATATATTTTTTTAATTTGTAAATTCATTTTATATTTGTTTTGAGATTGTTTTTGCTTGAGTTGGGATTGAGGCGGTGTGGTGGAATATCAAGAAACAGTTAAAAAACTGACGAGACATAAAAAACGCTCTTAAAAGCGAAATCTTTAAACAGAGGTTCCCGAAATCAAATTCAAAATGGCGGATGGTGTTGCTCTCTTTCGCTGGGGAGCGGGCGTGGGGAGAGCGCTATTTATAAATATTTGCAATTGCTTAGGATCTCAGTTGTATTCATTCATTTTGAGTATTGGAATAGCAGGAAAATAAGTAACTATCCGGATCTTTCGCTTTAGATTTCTCAAGCCACACTGTAATAACGTTTACGATCAGATTTTCTATTATACCCGCCAAAGATGCTTTCAATTTCAGCCCCTGATGTTCACACTGTAGAAATTCAAATTTCTTTATTTTCATGAACTGTATAGTAATTACAGGTATTGCTAAAGCTTCGACTGAGCCATTTTACTCTGCAACACTGGCATAAGCTCAAAACAAAAACAGATTTAGGGGTTAAAATGGATGACAAAGACAAAATGAAGGTGTTTTTTTTGTGTGTACTCTTTTGTCTTTAATTAGCTTATAATTTTTCTTATGTTTATGCTATGCTTATGTCAGTGCACGCTTCTGCTTATGTCGTAGTATAAGCCGGTGGAAGGACAAGGACAAGGAGTCGATGAAAACCTTCCGTTCTTTCTCTTCCTCCGCTCGCTTCACTAGTAAAAACCATGCACGATTAAAAAGTCAATAATTCCTTATATTATAAATTGCTTTAAGGTATTATTCCATAAAGCTTTAAATTTTACGTAAAAGGATAAAAAGATGCAAGAATTTGGTAACTTTTCTTTCATATTTTATTAGATACTGTGCTGCTATAAGGTTTATTATTTAAATATTTTATAAATTACCTTGTAAATTAATGAATATCAGAATTTACAATAATGCTGATAATGTTGTAATTCCGTGAATATATCGGTCAAATAATTAAGCTAAAATACAGATTAAAAACGTTTCGCCTCAACCAATGTTAATATGAACTTGTAAGAATGGTGTACCATAACGTCACGGTATATTGATATTGATACTATTAATTAATTCCTACTGCTTTACACTTAATTTTACTATTTTCAGTCAAGAATTCGGCGACACTCAAGACTACTACTTTTGAATTAATCACTAAACGAAGATTCTGGATCTAAATACGACTTCCATATTTGATTAGACAATGATTCATGCGGACAAAGGACTGCTCCAACCTGTCGCACAACAGCATTGGGAAGTCAGTTGCATATTGCTAGAGAGCTGGAAGGGGTTGTCTTTCGATCATTTTATTAGTATTATTATTTTTGCCGCTCATCGTGCAGACGTCAAACTCAGTCATACTTTTCGCAAAGTACTGCTGCTACTTTCAAAGCCATTGCACTGTACATTTCCATTACATCTCGATAACACCTTCGTAACTCTGCAATACAGTGTAGTCTCCTTCACGGTTCACTGTGCCATTTTGGAAGCTAGTCGTGCCTTTTCATCAAGCGAGACAACCGTTGAGCGTGCAATGATAGATACCTGTGAATAATTGTCTGCAGGTGTGACAGAAAGTTTCTATTATTTCACGCTCAACAGTCGTCTCGCTTCGATGTAAATGCACGGCTACCGTTAAATATGGCGTAGGGAATCGTGTAGGAGACTATTATGCAGCAACTTCCTTAGGACGCTGTTACGAGACAAATAGGCCTTTTGCATGAAACGGCCACATTGTACTAAATCCGCCATACTGGATGGCAAAAGAATGTAAACAACATCAAAAACAAAAGGAACGCGGCACATCAAGCTTGACTTTTCGTTGTTTTTAGCATCCCAGAGGGTTTTTGCCATCCAACATGGTGGATATAGTACCATGTGACCGTTTTATACAAAAAGGTATTGCTCAGAACATTGAGCAGTGCTAAAGTGTGTTTACATTGCGGAAATAATTCGTGGAACAAGCAGAATCCCAAGTGTAGTTAAAACAGAAAAGATATATATCCACATAAAGATACTGTTGAGAACCAAGGCGGCCATTTTCCATTCTTCTTCCCGTTTCTCCATGGCTTCCTTGTAAACGATGTGCTCTTGGAGAATCTTGTTGGCATCGTTTGAAGATGGTGGTTCTTTGGTCATTGGCAAGTCACCGTTCATGTTTTGGATAGTACTGCATGCATTCCCTGGTGGTATTGAGAAAATGAGTGATAAAACAACAACAATACAGCAACGATAACAATAGTCTCCTTCACGGTTAGCTGCGCCATCTTGAAAGGTAGCCGTGCCTTTGCATCGAAGCGAGACAACCGTTGAGCGTGCAATGATAGAAACCTTCTTTCACACTTACAGACAATTATTCACAGGTTTCTATCACTGCATGCTCAACGGTTGTCTCGCTTCGATGTAAAGGCACGGCTACCTTTCAAGATGGCGCAGGTAACCATGAAGGAGACTATTGAAGAGTTAGATAGATAGATAGCTAGCTAAGATAGATAGCTATCTTTACTCCTGCCAATACCAAATTGATATTTAAAGGATACAAACTAAAACTATAAAGTAAAATTCCTGTACAATAAAAATGTGAAAAAGGTACTTTCAAGGATAATTGCGATGGCAATGGGTAATTTTCATGGAAACGGCCATAATGGTAATGTTAAGACTGGAAAACTAGCGCTGGCACTGGCATTAATAATGGTGATGACACTGGTACTCGCAATGGTCTTACTGATAATAGTAACGACAGCAGTGGCAATGGTAATGACATTTATAATGGCAATGATCGTAATTGTAATTGTAAAGACAGGCTAAGTGACACTAAACTAAATCGTACATCCGCATTATGAGAAATTAGATTAAAAAATTCTACAAATCATCGATGGCAAACAAGCACTTTTTCCTTCAATGCAATTTATTTAGAATCAGGCCTAATCGGCTAACGCGTTGCCAAGTACTTTACCACCAAATCCTGTGGGAAAAAGAACTTTTGTTTCTAAGAATTGAACTGTGAAATAAAAATACAACGAACAATGAAACTTACTCCCAGGTGGTTTGAATTGGGTGGAAGCGTTTATAGCAGCGCGTTGGATGAATAAGTCTATTACAGGGCTAGAACAACAGAAATAGTACTTGGCGAGCAAGAGAAATAGTTATTGTAAATGTTGATGACTATGACAAGATTATAATCCAATGATATCTTTTGTAACCCTTGACCATGTGAACAATTTTTACCATTTACTGCGCCATTCAATGATTGAGCAGCCATCGACTTATCGTCAGCTGGCAATTGTACGACCTTAGGGATTTTGGTAAAATTGAATGGAAAGCCAAGAAAACGTCCAAGMCTTTCAAGATGTTTCTGAAAATATAAATACAAAATTGCTTAAAGGTTTCACTTGAAATACGGGTTTATTGTCTGTTGTCTAATGCACACTTTAATAGTTTGGGATACATACCCTACCCCTAGTCAGAAAACAATTTGACCATAACTTAACCAACCTAGGTCGGGCAATTCTCCATGTTCAGGGCTGTAATGATGCACCAATACACATCCACACCCTTCCCCTCGTTAGTAAAACATTAGACCATACTTACCTACTGCTCACCCCATTCAGGAAATTCTCCTTGTTTATGGTTGTAATGATGCACCCAATACACAGACCCTACCCTACTTAGTAAGAAATTTGGAGAAACTTACCCTACCCCAGTCAGGCAATTTTCTATGTACATGGTTGCAGTGATTCACCCACATAAGAGTCTACCACTAGTTAGTAACATACTTACCCTACCCCAGTCAGGCAATTCTCCATGTTCAGGATTATAGTGATGACACACCAGCACAAAGCAAGTCATGAAGAAGGCAGACGAGACTTCCAGCATTGTAATAGAGTAGTACAAGCCAATAACGGGGATGGACTCTGAAGTGGGCGGCATGTTTTCAGCAACCAGAAGAAAGAAGAAACTCAATCCGACCAAAATAGCCATCCCTTGGAGAAAAGGCAAAAATAATTGCAGTTCTTGATGGTAAATGAACTTTATCGGTAGTTATAGAGTCGTTTTCATTTGACTGTGAAAGATTTTTGAGACTTATAGCTGGTATATCGAACTTTATCAAAAATTCCAACAACTTTACCAAAAATTCCTAAAGAGTCATTTTCACTGCACTGCTGTCAAATATAATGGAAACGAATCTAGGCAAACAGCTTCATGCAGCGCGGTGTATACATATGGGTGCTACTGGCATGGCAGAGGAGCTTGCATGAGCATTTCGTCACCCAACACAGCAGTTATCCGTTTCAGCGCATGCGTCTTACCTACAGTCATCCGTTCATTGCATTCCGGGGGAAGCAGGAACACTAGTAGTGTCAGTAGAGAGATAACAGCGCAGGGAATGATCAGGTACATTGCATGAAACAAGGAACGTCGCTTGATTTTAACGTAGTATTCGATGTCCTCGTAGGGATGGACACAGCATAAGTACTTTAAGCTGTGGAACTCTGCTGGCATCTCTTTTAGTTTCCATTCTACGTTAGGAGAGAACGACGATAAATCTGCAGATGAACTCTGTCGAAATAGAAAGAATTTGTCAGTGTAATGGTGGGAACTAACGGTAAACTAGTTTGAGCTGCGTCAGTGTTTCTAAAAAAACAGTTATGTAAAAAATATAATTTAACATTTAACACCGTAAAAAGTAGGTGAAATAACTTACTTACCTACTTTTTACGGTGTTAAATTTATTTTTTTACATAACTGTTAAGAATTTGTTGTATAATTGGTCTTTTGCATGAACAGTCACATAATACTAAATCCGCCATTATAGTACTGGATGGCAAAGGAATGTAAACAACCTCAAAAACAAAGAACGCAGCCCGTCAACCTTGACCTTTGTTTGTTTTGAACAATCCGTTGGGCCTGCCACTCAGCATGGTGGATAGAGTACAATGTGACCGTTTCATGAAAAAGAGCTATAAAGCTGAGTAAACTTTACGTTAATTTTTAGGTAAGTTGTCCAATGATGTTAAAAAAGCGTTTGGTGATATGAGGACACAGAAGAACTTAGACCGACCACGAGCTTAAATAACAACGAAGTATTCTCTGGCTGTCCCCGAATGCTTTTGGCAGAAACTATACCAGAATTTCTTGCACATTTTCTTTGCTTTATTTATATTTTTGATCCCTTAAGAAAATAGCAAAACAATAGTGCCTAATTACATGACATTAAAAAAAAACAAAGTAGGAAAAGTATTGTGGTAGCCGTAGTTAATAAAGTCATAATGCAAATTGTCTATTTATTTAGCACCTCAAGGCGTAGTCCCAGCTGTGAGGAGTCATAGGTCCACGAGCCAAACTTAATCTTACAGTCCTGTTCGTCAAAGGGATAGTTCTCAAGGTGCACTTTGCATGTACTCTTCAAGATCGATGGAATGTTCATTTGAACGAAACCATCGTAGCGGATAAGAGCCTGGGTACGAGTGACTCCATCGCCAAAACCTTCGCCGGCACTATAAGATAAGATTATGGAAGAAATTCTTCGTCTTTGGACAATTTTATCTTAATACAAACTAGACCAGATAATGTTTAGGCCCGGGTGTTTAGGACTCAGTGAGATGGTAAAGATATGACTGTATTTGAAACGCACAGTACAGTTCAGTATAGACTTTCGGTAAACTGAAAATGGATGCCGCCAGGCCCTCGCGGGCCCCAAAGCATAATGGTGCACACTGAGCCTTTAAATAAGCCTTACTTGTTGTAGAGGACAATATCAGGGATCCATATAGATTCAGGGTGGACAGCGATGTACTCTGTTCCTCCAAACTGTGTCTTGTTCCACGATAGAGACGGATCTGTCCAATGCTACACAAAGAAGAGGAAGGATTTGTAAATGAACGGATGGTTTTGAATAAATGACGGGGGAAAGGAATCGTTTAAAACAGTAATAGGAATTTACACTAAATATTTCTTTTTCTTGAAAGCTCCACTCAAATAGTTTCTTTTTTCAAATACATTATGTGTCAATGCTTGTCATTGTCCTCTAGAGACCGTAAACCTTCCTTCAAAACACTTAAATCACTTAAATACCTTGATGTGACGCTGTATTGCAAAATGGAATGAAAATGATTTCAAGGTTCAAGAGTGAAAGAGTTCGAATCGATATTAGATCTGATTCAATCGATAACTCATAGTTTACACTTACTTCTCGGATTGTTATTCGTAAATCAAGTCGTTGGTTTTTATCGTTCTAAAACAAAATAGAAATTTAGCACAATAAATCATGGTTCAAGATTAAGAAAATATTATATTATATATCAACATTTGCACAATACACTAAATCCATCATAATTGTTACAATAAATGATGATTCAAGATTAAGAAAATATTATATTTTATCAAAATTTGACAAATACACTAATCTATCATTATCTGAGCATTTTTGGATTGCTTTTCCTCTCTAGATTACTACCCAGCATATTGCCTTGCAATTCAAAATGGCCGCCATATCACAATATCCTTACCATATCGATGATTTCATGAAGAGATAAACCAAAGGTGACTTGAATTGATTTAGTAATGTTGGGTGATGGCCGCACACGGTTGTTATACGAAGAGTTAAACAAATACGAGTGCACTGTGTTACCTGCATAATAATGAAATGAATAAACGGTTAAAATTTTTAAGTTTATATTATTTTTAAGTTTTAACAAAGTAGAAAATTGCAACTCAGACCCACTAAAATGTGATTTAAATCGTGGAAGATGTTGTTACAGAAAACCTTTATTTAAGCTGCTTTTCGCAAAGGATTTTTTTTCTGCAAGAGTGCTCATGAGATCTCATGTCATTTTTTCCGCAGCTAAAAACTTCAAATGTTACTAAAATTTCACTGTTTAAGACTTAGTTAAAGGGAAGAATGATGACTCGTTATTTGAATCGATAAAAAAATATTTGTAAGATAATTATTGACTTTTTTATAATTTAAGCTGATTTAATCTTAAATAGTGGTTCTATCATATTCAATGTCATATGTTACAGATACAAAGGCAACTCAAAATGACGCCTCATACAACATCTCCCCTATATTTCTAGATGMGCTAACACGAATTGTCAAAATGGCGGATAATGTTCGCATTAGATGTATAAAAAAATCTTTCTATAATATAAATTTTTTATCTATTCAAAGTTTTAAACATCAGTACCTGCCTTCTACTTCGGTAAAGAAAGAAAATTAGAAAGTTTTCGTCTAGCAAAATGTAGTTTTATACTGAACATTTCTTAATAAGACTTGCCAAAATGACAGAATCGAAAACGTTTCCCGAAAAAACTATTGGTTCCTTGGTATTTTTTATTCTAAGCAAGTTTGCAATATAACTTCATAACTGCCTAAATACCTTGAGCTTTGCTTAATACTCCTGTTATCAAAATAGTCCACCAAATTTCAAATTCCATTCTGTCTTAGTAAGCAAGCAACCATTAACTACATATCTTGAAATTTATATTAATTTGTTTAATTTATTCCTGAATTTATGAATATCCTTCAGCTGTCAAAAAAGGCAGGCTGATTGTTTCAAAATGATATTTTATTAATCTGTACTTGATATCGTATTTATGAGTTTTTTCCAACATATTCTACGACTTCTTTAGAGCGTGCAGCAAGTGTGGCCGCCATCTTGATTTCTATTATTTTTCTCTAAGAAGACATTAGAAATTTAGTATATTTATCGTAGAATTGGCAGACGCTTGCAGAATAATATATGTTATTTAATTATATTCTACAAAATGTGGGCCACCATGAATAGCCAGTTGCATCTAAATGTTTTGAAAGTATGCATAAATGCATTCATAGCTGTCCTTGAAACTTTTTGTAATAAATTGTACGATATTGTACTCATTGATTAAACAAAAGACGACCAAAAAATCTTGCACTAAATTWCGACGTGTACATTTTTGCTCTTGCAAAGTATTTCACAGATATGAAGAGTACTAAAGGCGTGAAAAAGTATTGATCAACCAAAAGTCTTAAACAGCGCAAGATTAGAGTATAGATTAGACAATAGAAAACAAAGGAATTCGCATAATTCAGTACAATTGTCACGACTATTTAATTACTAAAGTTTAGAGAGATCCCACTTAAACCGTGCAACTGTACAAAGTCTACCTAGTACTTATTTGTAATAAAAGTGGACCTGAAGCAAGGGTATTGAATGCTTCATTTGAATCAACTCAATTTAATTTGCGTACCGCATGCACGATTTTCTACACAACTAAATAGCACTATTTACTTTGTACAGTTGCACGATTTAAATGCGATCACTCTATCATGGTTTTAAAGTTTACACTCTCGTGAATTTACTCTTTATTTGGACTTTAACCTCTAACTGGCATCGTCATTGGAGGGAAGAAAAACTCAAGGCGCCTTAGGGAACTTGGTACATAATAACACTTACAAGTTTGTTTTGTCATCCACTRAAATGACACCTTGCAKTTGAATAAAATAGTCCTGTCAGGGGGTAGGGACGGTGTGAAATTAAAGTTRTGAGTAAATTGACAGGTGGGATGACGGGTGGCAAAGCATCTCGGATAATTTGTTGKTCTTCCTCTTGTTTGTTTACATGGTTATGCATTTGGAYGATTACCTGTGGACCGTACAAAATCCCATAGAAACATWTTATTTGTACTTCAAGGTTTAGATGGTTTGATACCTTTGGTGATTTCTTCATTAATTTTCTGGCTTTGTCTCAAGACTCGCTGCATTTCCTTACATGACATAACACACCAGTTTGACAAAACACCAGCTCAGGTTGAGTCAGCGAGGTTGGAGATGAAACCTGGATTTTAAAAACAGAAACAAGGACGATTGGATTACCCTKCTTATTATTTCCAGCTTTATTCTTTTAAATTGTGGAAAYAGAAGGTTATTTTTCAGTCTGCAACCGGGGCATTGATGTGTGCAGAGGAATTGCAAGCGACCTGYCAGTGAAGATTTTCGCCCAAGTGTTAACAAGTAACCAGCAAAGAAATACAGTTTTAAAGTGTACCTTTCATAAGGTCGTTCAAGCTTCAAAGCAAAATCTTCCAACTGGTTATATTTGAACGGTTTCGAAGCATTTATGATTCTGTTATATCTGAYAAGCCTTGTGAGYTAAAGTTAGSACGAGSSAAGATGGCTTCCGTGGAGGTGGAAAAGCTCTCCGAGCACCTCCTGAAGTGTCAAATCTGCTTGGAAACATACAAATCTCCCAAAGTCCTCCCATGTCTTCATACGTTTTGYCTTCAATGTTTGATAAARCTCTGTCGACCAGAAGAGAGAATTATCATTTGTCCAACATGCCGCTGCGAAAGCCAGATCCCTAAAGATGGTGTCACAGCATTTTCATCGAACTTTTTCATCAACAACATGCTGGATTTTCTCTATGTTGCACAGAGCAGCTCAAAACCTGTTTCTTGTACAAATTGTGAGGATAAAAACACTGCTACGTCGCGTTGTATTGAATGCATGGAGTTTCTCTGTCAGGCGTGTGTAGCTGCACACCATCGAACTAAACTTACAAAAGATCACGAAGTGTTGGCACTCGAGGAACTACACGGTTTAAAGCAAGAGGTGCAGGAAAAGATGCACCGGCCACTGCTCTGTGGAGTGCACGATACGGACATTTTAAAGTATTTCTGTGAGACTTGCGATGAGCCTGTTTGTAGAGAATGTTTGATTATTGATCACAGAGAACATCGGTATGGATATTTAAAAGATGTTGATAAGAAACATCGGTCAGAGGTAGGCCGTGTGCAAGATACTTGCTATAGTCAATTCACTGGATTTTGTTTTCAAAATCCGATGATTAATAAAACACCGAACCTCAAATATCCATGCTATAACGTCAATATTGTTTACGATTCTATCAGAGATCATTGGAAATTTGTTTTGCAATATGAAATTGTGTGAATGGAGGTCGGATATTCATGTTTCTATAGATAACATGGAAGCTATATGAAAATGTACAAAATTGAATTAAGGTGGAAAGTTGACGCAGGTTTTGAAAGGCTGTCGGAAAGAGCAGAGTTTGGTAATTCTGCAGATTTACATGATGCGATTTGTCATTTGCGACTTGCCGTGTAGACGACATGTCTTAGAGTTATTGAGCCTACAATTGTAAGATTTTGGCAAGACACAACCGCACAGGTCTATTCGCACAGACATTTATATGCGGCACGATTCTGGCATGTATGTCAAGTCGCACGCGAAAAGTCGCATCATGTAAAAAGAACACTTGACAAAGGCAGGGCTGAATAATATTAAAATGTCTTGAAGAATCTATACATGGTTTATGAAGATTCACTTAGATTGTATAATAACCATCCAACGAGTCACAATCGGTATTTTATTCAATAACATTTATTTGGACAAAGCTTCAAAGCTTCTAAATTTTGATTGACGCTAATTAGTTTTATTATTGCATCCTTAGGTTGGTGTATTAGTAATGAACACAAAGAAGAAACTCTCACCTTTGAAGGAAGCCATCGACAGCGTGAAGGAAATGAGAAAAAGAGTCGACTGTAAGGCAGAAGAGCTGAGACAAGAAATCATGCGAACTACSAAACGATGTCTGGAGGTTATTCAAGAGCGCGAAGAAGAGCTCTTGACACAAGTGAACAATATCCACAAGATGAAAACAAAGACWCTTGATATCCAAGCTGAAGAGCTGGAAATGATGTTAGGTATGCAAAAATATGTATTAGAGGGTGACTGAAGGTAAAGTTAACTTCATCTTGAGGAAAAACAAATGACTTTTGTGCCATCTTGAAAACTAGAATTAGAAAATAACTAGAAAGCCATAGCAGTAAGTATCCTAGGCCAGCATGGCTGGGTTTTTCAAAGCCAGATTAGCGTTAATCCAAGGTTGTCTCCATAGGTTTTTAGTAGAGCCCAGGATTAGCGCCAATGGAGCTCTAAACAATTCAAATCTGATTAGTTCTGGTCTAGCTTAAAGTTGACGAGAGTATTCCAATTCAGTTTTATTCTTTATCGTTCTGTTTTCTAGGTAACCTAACGAGCAGYATCGACTTCACTGAAAACGCTCTTCGCCATGGCAACGAAGCGGAAGTAATGCTAGTGCGAAAACAAATGACAGCACGTTTRCAAGACTTGAATCACGTAAAGTTAGAGTACGATCCTTTAGAAGACGAATTTATTGATTACGAACTAAAACCAGACGAATTTAGGAACGCGATCCAGAAAATGGGTACAGTTAAAATGTACCACGCCTATCCAAGATTCTGCTACGCTACAGGGGTTGGKTTACAAAGAGCAAAGATAGGACTGGAGGCTGTGTTCCTGGTGACRGCTAAAGACAGAATGAATGAGATCTATAGTGGTGGTGGAGAGGCCATGAAAGTCGTGGTTTCTCCACCTGAAGGTGACAAATATGAAGGTGTGAATTCTATATATTAACGAAACATTTTGAGAATCTAGAAGCTTATAGAATTACTATTTAAGTAGCTTTTCTCGAATCCCTTAGCTTAAGATCTATAGGGGGGGGGGGGGGGGAGTAAGAACAGGAAAATTGTCGTTTTCTACCAGAAAGGGGAACATATAAAGTCATGCTCACTGACAAATAGGAATTAGATTTTTCGCTCTTAGCTTCTAGCTAGAGATTTTAACCCTTTTAGCCTTAGATTCGGTCTTCGAAGGCAAAAGAAAGACCACGTAAAGGTTGATAACCTTCWTTTACCACCAATTCAATTAGTATATTCTAGAGCTACCTGATCTAGATCTAAAACATACTTATACTAATAATTTATTGCTTAGGTAAAGTAATTGACAACTTAGATGGCACCTACACTGTTGCATACCAGCCGGAAGAAAGAGGAACCCACGAGGTCGCAATTACATTAAGAAATCGAAACATCTCCGGAAGYCCTTACTCGGTTAACGTCACAGGCCGAATGGATTACGGAAAGCTCGGCAAAATGATGCGAACATTCGGAACTGAAGGCACTGGTGGCGGAGAATTCAACATGCCCTGGGCTGTTGCTATTGACAATGATAACGGGTGTTTCATAATCACGGACTGCAACAATCACCGCGTTCAAGTGTTTGATTTCGAAGGAAATTTTATGTTCAAATTCGGAACTGAGGGATGTGATCGAGGACAGTTTAAAAATCCAAGAGGTGTAGCTCGRTTTCCGAACGGTCAAATAGTAATCGCTGACTTCAATAACCACAGAGTACAAATATTTAACGAAGATGGACGCTTYATACGAAAATTTGGCTTCTACGGYAATGAAGAAGCCGGGTCWATGAATCATCCATGTGGTGTGGCATGCGCAGCTGGAGGAATGGTGCTAGTTTCGGAGCAAGACAATCATCGTGTCCAAATGTTTGATGGGAATGGGGACCCTGTGAGAAAGTTTGGGTGTCAAGGGTTTGGAAGAGGACAATTTATATATCCACATCATCTTTGTGTGAACCAACGAGGCAGTGTTGCTGTTGCGGATTGCGTCAATGATAGAGTCCAGATATTTGATATGGAGGGAAACTATTTATCTAGCTTTGGAAAAGAAGGTATAGTAGGAAATATGTGAATTCAGATTGACAGTAGTTATAGGTTCGCATCCCCTCATCAGAGCTTGTATATCCTACAGTACATCCCCTTATTTTGTGTCCTATGTTATCATGCTTTTGCAATTCTTACTGAGTACCCTGCACTCCTCCTATTCCTGGGGTTAGCTGTAGCAAGGGAAAGGAACATTTCGGAAGGATTACCAAGCGGATCAGAAGATCCGCTCCATAGATTTCGCATTTTAGTTCATTTTCTCCGGTGAGGAAGGACGTGTGCTCTTCAAGTACAGCTGTGCTCTTCTAGGCGATAAACTATGAAGTATATAGTGTGTTGTGCCTTATAACTATGCTTTCTATATTCTATGATAAGCTATCCAATACTGGGCCGCACTATAAAGCCCGACGCACACGAAAGGGAAGTGCGTAAGGGAAATGACACGCGAGTCGCTTTGAGCAGCGTGTACGCACCAATTTTTGCTGTTCACGGTGAGCAAAACGCTGGCATTTCCCTTACGCACTTTCCTATCGTGTGCATCGGGCTTAAGATCTCTTTGTTTTGGCGCACTTCAGTTTGCTATTGTGATTTTATGGAATAATCTTTTCCATAGGGACACAAAATGGTCTGTTCGATGGTCCAGAAGGCATAACATACGACGATGAAGATAACATGTTGGTGTGTGACTACCACAATCACCGAGTGCAGATCTTTAACTCCGAGGGGGTTTTCGTGTCGTCCTTCGGTCAGTTCGGTGACGAGGAGGGGAACTTTAGAAACCCATGTGGCATTGCGGTCACGAGTGACGGAAATGTGATCGTCGTGGACAGCGGAAATCATAGAATACAGATATTTTAGTTGTGAATCATTGAGCATCCACATAATGACTATATGCAGTCGTTTGAAAGGAACCATTAGCTCCTAAAATATGTCTTGAATGATAAAAGTATTTAATTTGTGAGTTCAATAGGYCTTTTGTATTTAACGGTCACWTGGTACTAAATCCGCCATACTGGAGGGCAAAGAAAATAAAAGTCAAGTTTGACGGGCTGCGTTCCTTTTGTTTTTCTAGTTGCTTACATTCTTTTACCCTTCAGTATGGCAGATTAAGAACCTTGTGACCGCGTTATAAATGCGCGAAAGGACAATTTAAAGGAATACTGAACTTCTTATGATCACAGGAGATTGGCCTTTAATTACACAGCTTTTATGAGATTGTTTAGTTCATCGCTACGATTCATATTAAAGGTGATCATGGTTCTTTTCAAGCGACTGAAATTTGTTCTCGATCTGTTTTTGATCATAATTAAAATTTCATACAAACCTTGCATGAGCATGCGTGTTTTTCTAAGTTAATTTTTAGAACATGATTATACAATGAAATAAATATTTTATTGGCATTCAGAACAATTATATAAAATCATTAAAAATAATATTATGCATACATCTTATTATTGCAAACTGGTTTTTATATGAAGACGAGAGACGAGAGCGCATTCCGAGACTGCTTTAGTGATCGTTTGACTATTTTACACTCCYGCTCAAATAAAGATGTTTTATTTTGGAATGACATCGTAGCGTAATTGCTAGTATGTTACACGCATGCATTTCAATATTATTTCTATTTGTCTAAAAACAGTCCATCTAAACCTATAACTTTTCTAGAGACACGCACGTTTAGGGCCAGTTCACACTGCAACAGTAAGCACAAKCTCCATAAACAAAGACAAAAAGTAAGGTGTTTTTCTTTGTTTATTCCTTTGTCTTTGATTAGCTTATGCTCTGCCTTATTTGAACTTGCTATGCTTATCTCGATATACACTTGACTTCATTCATTTGTCTTTTCTTTAGTTYGACATGCTTATGTCGGACTAAAGAAAAGGCAAATGAATGAAGCTAAAGTTGGAATTTCGMACACTCTAAGTTCAAATGGCACCGGCAAATTTCTTCATGACGGAGTGGTTTTCATAAATATAAATTCGTGAAATAATGAGTACTAATAGTCAAAATATRAAAATGAGTGATGGACAGGAAAATTAACGGAATTAAAGTGTAGTATGCTAAAGTGTACATGTCTATATATAATATATAAAAAAAATGTTATTTATAGCCTTATATTAATATAAACATTATTCCTGATTGTCTATGAAATATACTCAAATGCATGAACGATACATATGTGAGCTAAAATATTCCGTGACTTTAATGGCCTTTCTACGTCATTATGTTAATGAAGTCTATAAAATGAGAAAAATACTTGATCAGGGCAATAGAATCTAGATTAGACTATGTTAATTTTATAAA